CACTATCGCCAACATGCATTTTTTGGTGCCCCTGGATATGCCTGCATTCTGCACACACTAAGTGAAACAACAGTTGTGTGGATGGTTTTAAATGTGTGTTAAATAGGCCCGGATAAGGAAACGCATATTTTGTGTACAGCCTTGTGAGCCATCTTATGAAATTGTCCTCTAAAAATGTTTGCAGGAGGATTGCTGACACTTTAAGGACTTTTTATGGGTCAGGTACAAAGTTTATTATTTTAAAATGATATACTCAGAACACATCTGATTTTTCTTTGTGTCTCTGGTAGTTAAAAATGTGTAATGCCCACTTCAGAATATGTACATGTCATAGGTAGTTAGCATGTCACTAACATTAGGAAATACTGTTTAGCAGAACAATAGGAGGCAACATGACGTGGATTAAAAACATTTTAAATTAGGATCTTCTCACAAGTTCGATTCATATTGTCAAAATTACACACTTATAAGAGACATAACTGTTCACTTTTTTGTCATGCTCGTGAAATATTTTTTTTTTTGTTCTTAAAGCATCTAGAAAAATCATTTTTTTTCATTGCTAGCATTGTGAGCGGTGGTATTCACAATGCATGGTCTAACAAGGTCAAAGACCAGCAGTGTCCTTGTCTTTCTATCTCCCTGCACTGTTATCAATGAGACAGACATAGACAAAGACAGAGCAGCTGAAAAAAGTGCACACACAGAAACACTGAATTGCAAACGCTCTCAAACTTACACACAGGCCTTTCCCCAGAAAAATGTAAGCAAGGTTCTCTCTTCCACGCTGTCAGTTTTCAAGCCCTGTGCGGCTTCAGCTGACTTTTATTCATCATAACAGAATGAAAGATATAGATTCTACCCTGGAGATTAGAACTAAGAAAAAAACGAATGTATAGACATAGAGGAAATAGAGCATGAAGGAGGTGGATATATGTGGAGGGAAAAGTGAGTGAAAGAAGGAGAGAGACAGAAAAAAAGGTGAGGTGAGGAGAGAGAGAGAGATGGGCCTCTCTAAGTGCATAGGCACAAAGCTGTGAGTTCCCAGGCAAGACAGCATGAGCTGCCTATTTGTCAGCATTGATCAACCCATTAAGGGGCTGTGGTGGGAAGCATATTGGTTTTGGAGGCCAAAGGGGCAGAGAGAGACAAAGATAAAGCAAGACGGGGGGTGTTGAACTCCTTTCAGCCTCGGCAGCCGCACGTCTGTGGGATGAAAAAGCCTGTAGTCTTCCTCTCCAATGTCTATGTAGTTCATTTTGCAGGAGCCCAACGGGAAGGTAGTGGATGTCATTTGTCTTACAGCATCTCACGAGGCCCCACTGTATATGTTATCTTAGCTTTCTCCCGCTTCGACGCTATTAAGGTTCAAGCTAGCTCCTCAGACAGACGGCTTGTCACTTGTCCTCTTCCTTAGTGTGTGTGTTTCCGTGTGAGCTCAAAGGGTGGGTGGTGGTGGCAGAGGTGGGGATAGGTCCTGGCCCTAGGGAACACAGGCTGCCTCTTTGCCCAGCCTCTGATGAATTCATATAATTAACTCTGCCTTGATCTGTTGGCTAATCCTGCACTCAGTAATAAGGGATTAAAATGTCACCTAAGCCACCTGCTGTTATTGAGCCCCTAGACTTTTTGTGCCTGTGTGTGTGTGTGTGTGTGTGTGTGTGTGTGTGTGTGTGTGTGTGTGTGTGTGTGTTAGAAATAAAGAGAGAGAGAGAGAGTTAAAATAAATTAAAGTGGAAGATTTTTATACTAGAGAACTTTTCTCTGTATACAGAAGAAAATGTGTGTAAAGGACACTATACAGGGCCTCATACAAGTAGACATCTTAACCACTGCCCTTTGCATTTTAGCTCCATTCATAACGCCGTAGTTTGGCATCAAGTTGAACTCTATAATTTAACAAGAAGCTGGAGCTAAATTTGCAGCAGACTCGCTCTGAAAAAGTCATTGTCACAGTCACTAAAAAGGGGCATGAAAGTGGGACATGCTGGAAGGTGGGAGTCAAGATTTTTTTCTCCTCCCCTCTCACTATGACCTCCTTTGGACCAAGTAAAAGGCAAAAAAAGAAAAAAGGAAAAAGAAAAGTGCCAATTGGTCGGCTAACAGCCTGCAGAACAACATCCAGACTTGCCTGCCTGCTGGCCATCACCACTCGGTTGCCTAGCAACCCCAAATGACTCTTGTTGCTTCTGTGGCACAGGGGATACTAATGAAGCCTTCCAACCAATCGCTGCTGTTTAAGACCTGGAAGCTGACTGATCACTGGGCAGGGACTGAGGGACTTCAGGCTACCCTAAAACTCTTTCATGTCGCACACACACTTATACACACTTATTACACACTCAAATATGTGCTAAGATCACACCTTGACTTGTTGCTTACAATGCTCACACTGACCTTAATTATCTCCCTCACAAATACTCTCATACATCAATGTCTCACCCTACCTGAACTTTGTCTCAGACTCACATGTAAACATGTTTAGAGCAGGAGTGATGGCAGTGAGCCAGAACAAACTAATACAGTGAAACTGCCTCTTGTCTGGCTGTTTAATGCTAAACAACTGTAAACAATTTAGCACTTGATCCATAGAGAATAAAAAATATCTTATCTTGAAATGAATATAAGTCACCTAAGTCTTACTTTGATGTAATCCCACAGCTGTTAAGACAGTATTAAAATATGCTGTTTCTCCAAACCTCTCACTCTTTCTGCTTCTCCCTCCTACCACTCCACTCCCTCAATCCACCATTTAGTCCAGTTGTACTCGAGGTTTCTACCAACTAAAAGGAAGTTTCTCATTGCCACTGTTGCAAAGTGCTTGCTCATTCATCGATTGATGTGAGGCCACTATGAATAATATAAAAAATTTGGACAGTCTCGACCTGGTTAATGTGTACTTTGTAATGACATAACTTTTGTTGTTATTTGGCTCTATATTAAAGGTAGAATATGCGATTATTTGATTATTATTTGAGTCGCCCTTGAGCACCAGCATGAAACCAAAACAACTCGCGCTGCATTGTTGTGTTAGCATGCTAATGCTAGCGATCTTTATTATGCTCATATCTTCACACTGCATGTAAATTTACATGAAATGACCGCGATCTAGAAATGCTTAAGTGGCATTCAAATAAGCAGTGAATAAAGTATGTTATACTTCTTTTCTCTAGTCCCTCAATTAAACAACTTATATATGCAAGGCGATGAGCCGGCCGGCCGTCCCGGCGATGTAAACAAAGTGTAGCTACGGCTCAGAATGCTCTGAAAGCATCACATACAGCTGGACTCAGGTGTCACACTCATTGTAGACAGTCATGACTCACAGAGTCATTTTCAGAGGATATTTAAGTGTGAAAAATCGCATATTCTGCCTTTAATAAGAAATGAATTAATATTAGATTGAAGATGTGACTCCATGTGTACTCTATTCAGTCCTTGACAAAGCAATTGTCTCTTTCCAAGTATTTTGAGTATCTTTCTTAGTGATCGTATCAATGTTGTTGATAAGGAAAACAACGAGTCAGGCTATTCTTCTCATCCGTTGGTTAGATTATACACATTCTATAGCGTAAGAACTTACATTTGATTTAATTGATGTGGAGATATGTGTCCATGCAGGTCAATCTGTATGGGTGTGACTGCAGCTGCATCCTTGTCTCTCTCTGTCTACAGCTCCAACCGCTTGTCTTTGTGATGTATCTGTCGTCTCTCAGAGCTTTGTTCCCATGTCACAGCATATTGCTCGGCATGTACGATACATCCCATGGGTTTCACCATGTATACGCTTGTCTATACATGTCTGGCAGTCGTTGGTCTATATTTAGGCCTTGGTCAACTGCTGTCAAGGACTGCGCTGCATGAGGGCTTGACACCCACTGTGCAGACCACGCTGACTGATCTGAGGGGGGGGCAGAGACCACATTCTGGACCAGTCCACATGGCCTAGTTAGGAGGATGCAGATTAAAAAAATGTTGTGATGAATATTAAACACAATTCTAAATATGACATAAATGCGTAGCAAAGGTCTTTGAGGGTGGCTCCAAACAGCCATATTTTCATGAGGGAATGAGAGCATATTATTCATGTATTGGAGATGGAACAAGATGGAGTAGCCAACAGTATTTTTCTGTTTTCGTACTTTAAGTACAGGGAGTAAAAATATATGAAACCATTGACAGGGGAGGAAGAAGGAACCAAGGTGGGTTTATTCATTGAAGGCAGATTTCAAAAGTGTTTTTTTTTTTTTTAGATTGGTGACGTTTTGCTTTCACCTCACTATAATGGCTCTTCAAAGGTTATTTATTGATTCCCTGCTATTAACCTTTCACAAGCCTATTTCACAGTTATACTGTTCAATAGCCTCCAGGAGGAGGAGGAGGAGGAGGAGGAGGGAAGGCTGGGGCGGAAGGGGGGGGGGGGTGTTGGCCAGTCGTACGAGTGGCATATTGGTTGTGAGTTGCAGAGGGGACTGTGAGACCTGAGGAAGGGATGGAGGCAGAGAGAGAGGGATTGCTAAGGGGTCAGGGATGAACAGGATGTAGCTGGTGACTTGGAGTCTGGAGCCAGGAGGGGGACAGGAAGAGCAAGGGCCATCTTGAGAGGCTCTCCCCTTGTGGGGCTGGGAGTGGCTGATGTAATGGCATTAATCTCCAAGTGCCATCTGACACCCAGTGTGGCATCAACATTGAAAAGTGCTAATTCTGCTGAACTGTGAGGGGAATTCAGGCATCTCTAGAGGCAGTGCCCTGGATTAATTAAACATGCTGGCATGGAGCAGCGTACAGTTTCCTTTACAGCATCAGAACTGTTTGATTTTTGCGTTCAGCTCAGAGTGGGACACACTCAGGACATCAATGCCAGGAAAACTGCCACATTTGAGTTCCCCCCCCCCCTTAACGAATTTGTAGAAACTGTTCCTTTTGTTTCATGCTAACCTGGGATTTCCCCTTCTCATTTTCTCTGTTTCTCTCTTCCTCTATTTTTCCTTCTCTCTCTCTAGATGAACCGGCCCATCCAGGTGAAGCCAGCCGACAGCGAAGGACGAGGAGGTAATTAACCTTCTCCTGGTCTCTGTTGCATGCACACCCCCCTTTAGAAAACACACACACAGAAGCAAACACACAAATACACTGGTACAGCACACACTCAATCCTTAATATTCTGCTCTCACTTGAGACACACAGGGAGTTAGTGTAGTAGCCCGTAATATAGGTCACTTGCTTCTATTGACTTCCCATCTGTGCCAGCAGAGGGGCTGTCTCAGGTACTTTCACAGTCACTGGGAGTGGTTCAAAGACAAGAAAAGAGAAGAGAGAGAAATAAAAGAGAAACAGACAACAGAAATTAATGACGAGTGGGGACTCTCCGTCCCTTGATCTCAGCAGAGTGACAGTCGAGTTTGCTTACAGAGGGTGGCGGAAGTGGCACACAGCTCAAACATAGATAGACACAGTCACACACAAACACACTCAAAGTGGGACGTTTCATTATTTCTGTGGATGCTCCATGTGGTATTCACAGGAGCTGTATTTTTGTTCAGAAAAAAGAGCACAGCTAAAGGATTCACTCCTCGAAAATCAACACATAATCTACAAAATCAACTCTAAATGAACCAATAGTACTTCCATCGACATACACTACCTACTCAGCTTACTCCTTAAATATCATTGTATTTATATGCTATGTGCCTTGCATATTAGGGGATGTAAAGATTCACAGATCCATCCATCTTAAATTGGCTTTAATTTGTGTCACTAGGGAATTAAACATTTTGTTTCAGTGCTAGCAGGCTTAACAGAGCCCATGAAGTGAGATGTTCAAGAAAACAACACTTTATGTTTAGACATTAAGACAGTTCACACTAATAAGGTCAAAACATTTTTTTTGTGAAAATAGGACCGACCTTTTGTCTCTTGCTTGAGTAATAAAAACAAGGACATTTAAATAGAAAACACTCATTTATTCTGTTTTTAGTGCAACTGCAATAAAGAAACACCCACATGAAGATTTCTAAATGTTTTCAGGGTAAGAATTTATTATAATGGGTTTGTATATACAGGGCCCCCACAAAAGAGACAATATTTTATAGGTGGGTGGGAGAAATATAAAAATATTTTCAAAATGATTTACACATAAACAGGTGAATAGCTTTGAGTGTTTGACTTCAATTCTCAAATTAAGATCCGGTGCAACAAAATACTGTCATAATAACTAGTACACTCAACAGATGTCTGCTTTTATGATTGCTCCTCTTTGTTAATCAAGAAGCCCCAAAAAGTCTATTTGAATTCCAGGTTGTGAATTCTTTAATACATTTGAAACACTAATAGTACTGTCACATGATTTAAACAGGGATAATGTTATACATTTTGAACCCTCTGAGCATTATCTGATTCTTATTCCATTTGACCCTGTTGAGTTATAACGTCATGCTGCAAATGAACTAATAGTTCAAAGAGATGACAACATTTTGTCAAAAGTAAACCCATCTGTCTAACGCATAAATTGTGACATTAAAATGTGAAATTTTGCTTTGGCACAGTACCAATACTTTGGTCATCCTATTTCCTCGATTTTAAGCAGGCCTGACATGATAGACTAGATCATTTGTAACAAACAGCACTGAAGTAAATGCAGATTAAGCCAGTTAAAGATGTACATGGGTGGCATTTAATCTAATAGGACTGGTCTGTGTGTGCCTTGTATTTCCATTTTAGAGTTGTGAAATGGTCTACATAGGTCAGATTAAACTGAGCCACTTGACTGATTTATATGGTCAACTGTGAATCAGATGGTCTATATCTATTGCCCCACACACCCCCATGTAGATCTTATTTTTTTGTCGTGGCGGCACTTTAATTAACGGCCATCTAAAAACAGGCAAAGTCTGACCGACAAGGCCAGGGCGAGAGCCAATCGGTGTTCTCACAAAGATAAATTGGGTCTCTGGGCTTAAGAGGGGAGGATGGATGGGTCCCAATATCAATTACTCCCCTTTTTCAGCAGAAAGAGAATGGAGATGAACAGGCAGTGTGAATGAAATACAGAGGGCTCTCAGGCTGGCAGGGCCCTTGCTAGTCTGTCAGAGGAACTTTCTATATGGGAGGACAGGATAGGGCACAGAACAGAATGAAATAAGACCAAGCAGACAGGCCCCAACAGAGATATTGAGCATTAATGGCAACAGGAAGTCAGCAGACAGGACGGGGAAGTAAACCACAGTCGCAGCTGACAATGAAATGAGATTTACTATGAAGGCCTGTGGTTAAAGGAAAATAGACAGCCCAGCCAGAGCTGGCTAAAGGAGAGAAAGCAGCAAGGGATCCATCCGTGGGAGGCAGAGGACCAGTCAGGTCGACCACTCCCAGTGGGGCTTAAAGATTGTCAAACCTGGGGACATTTGCACCCCTAGAATGGAGTCACATTTATCACTAGACTCAATTATCTGTCATGGGAGCTAGTGGCAGGGACTCGATTGCGTGCCTGGTATTAGGGTCCATTACTCCATTTGGAGACTCCAGTAGCCCCTTCTTTGTTGAAATGTCCCTGAGAGACGTCCTCACTCTGGGGAAATGGGAGTGTCAGAAAGAGAAATAAAAACCAGAGCTCGGAAAATGACGGCTGGGGGGGGCGAGATCCTGCAGCTTTGCTGCCATTTTGGATCACAGGAATAATACTCTGGTTGTCTACTGCAATGACACATGTTAATTTTATTTTTTGCCTTGGATTATCTAGACCAGGGATCCCCAAACTTATTCACTACACCGACCAGACAGCAGCTGTAAAATATCTGACAGACTGGTGTCTCCACTATCCTTTCTGTCTGTGAGCCTTTTTTCAGCAGCTCCAGTAAAAAAAACATGTAAATGTCGTTTCCTCATGTTTTCTCCACACTAGCTTATTTACTAAAAGTGACCGCTCACCCTCTATGTGCTGCATGCACAGCTTTGACCCACACGTGAACTAGTCAGTTTCATATGTTAACTTTTACTTATATAACAATAATAAACCAACTTTAAATGGAAATAATTTACCTTTTGATATTTAGTGAAAAAGGTTGGCTGTTTCCAGGAACAACTAAACACAAAGCAGTAGATATATTTATGGCAATTACATCCACCCTCTAGCTTCCGACTGGGCAACCCAAGGCCTGGTACCAGTCAGAGGCCTGGTGGTTGGAGATCCCTGATCTAAAAAGACAAGGGTAATGAAGGGGGACTCAACAGCCTTTAAATCTATTTCCGTTCCTTGAGTCGTCGGTCCTCTTCACTGCAAAGTCAACATTTATCTGATGTGCTTAAAACCATTTCCTATCTGACCAATTCTAACACACAATGATTTGAACTCAGAGATACTGATATGCAATCGCGGCATTGGTCTTCTGCTCCAAAGATCTGTGGTCAGTGAAGGAGCAGACTGGCGACTATATCTCCACTTGAAACAAGACATTTTTTCCAACTAAGAAGGTGCAGAAATGAGGAAGAATAGAAATCTTGAAGAGGTCAAAAAGCTCCAGCAACACTTGAAGTGAGAAGATTTATTAACTTTATTAACAAATTAGACTGACGTGGTTTGGCTTGTGGACTTCATCAGGGTTATCAAGAAACAGATTTGCAACCATAGTTTAAATAAGGTAGGTACAAAATTGAGAAAAAGGTTAAAAAAAAAAAAGAAAAAAATCAGAAAGATTGGAAAGAATGGAAATCTCTCACACACTCTTTGTTGCTTCTTTTCTTTCTCTACATCCCGCACTCTGTCTCACTGGTACCAAAAAGCAAGGAGAGAGATGAAGCGAGTGATGGGGAAAGAGGTGGAGATTCAGTACAAGGCCCAGGGAGGAATGTGTGAGAGGGTGAGAGATGGAAGACAAAAAAGACCAAGGGGGGGGGAAGAGACGACAGGATGAGAAAGTTAACGGAGGGTGATGGAGGCAGCTGAGTGAATCTCAGCACTAAATCATCTCAGAGCCGCCCCAGCCCTATCTCCTCCTCGCCTCGCCAGGAATCTTTTTCCCCCTGACCTTGTCTGCCGCTGTGTCTGTGAAGAAAAGATGGGGACAGATTATCTATGATTGGAGATGGCTATTATCTAAACACAATCTTGGAGCCAGGTCCCACTTCTCTAGCCACTGCTGTGAGACAGGAGACCACACTGATGAGAAGAGAGATGACGGGTCAGCCAGCAACACCCCCTTCTTTTATTAACTCTAATAAGATGGGTTCAACACTCTCCCAAAATACCTCGCAACCTCCATCAACATCGACTTTTTTCCACAAAGGGCCACTCTGTGCATTTGTCCATAGCTCCCCCTTACATTTGTTTTATTGGATACTTATACAGTGCCTGGAGTGTCATAATTCCTCCATGTGATACTCAGCAGCCTTTTTAATATTTCCTCCATGCACTTAAGTTCGTCTGGCTGAGGGGAGTCTTTGTGAATGGCTCACGTTTGTCCTAGCCAACCTGCTGCTCTTCAGAAGGTTGACCCTTGTTGGGCCGGTGGAAAGATTGACAGAACCTTAAGATGTAGCGCTCTGTGCAGTCATGGCCCACACCCCAGCAGGAAGGAGAAGAGCGAGGGGCTGCTGGCTGAGCTCAGTCTGGCAGGGCCACAGGGGAGGGTCTGTCTGGAGGCACCTCACGCCCACAGAAGAGTGCACATCACTTTACATGCAAATGAAGCCAAAAGATCCCTCTGTGCCTCTGGACAAGATCGTGCAGAACTCTGAAAAGTCAAGACGAACCCTCGCAGCGGTGGATATGTGATTGTGTGTGTGGGTTTCTGTGTGTGTATGTGTGTGTGTGTGGTGGGGAGTGCACAAAGACACATGGATAGACAATAGAATTTAGGGACCTTCAAAAGTAAAACTTAATTAATTGAAAGTTTTCAGGCCCTAATTTGACTTCCTCTTTTTAGAATCTCTGTGATTGGGCACTGCCATTAGAGAAGGTTTTCCAATATAGAAAAACAAGCATTCAAACTTTTTCTAAACAAGTTTTCCAGATAAATCTGTGTTCTTCTGGAGGGTTCATACCAATGCTCCTCTCC